TTATTCCTTTAATATATTATTCTCATAATATATTAATAAATCATAATATCTTCTCTCTCTCTTCATAAATCACCCTGTCAAGTTGCTATGGTGAAGGCAACCCAAAAGGACCATGCACAACCGGGTCAAGTACTTACCAAATATAGTTACGGGCTTAGACACTAATCCAACATTTGATGGATCGGCAGAACCTTAACATGCGGCATAGGAGATGGTTGGATGTATTGAAAGATTACGATTGCGAGATTTTGTACCATCCAGGGAAGGCCAATGTGGTGGCCGATGCTTTGATCCGCAAGGTGGCAAGTGCTCCGATCGGGAACGTTTGTTTGAGGATGACGATGCTCTCTCCATTGTTGGATATGATCAAGGAAGTTCAGGTGGAGGGTTTGGAGAAAGAGAACTAGAAGATAGAGCGAATTCAGGGTCATATTCCCTTATTTGTTCGGGATGGTCGGGGTCTTTTGGCACAGTGTGGCCGGGGTCTTTTGGCACAGTGTGGCCGGGTGTGGGTGCTGGTATCCGAGGGTGTGAAGCAGAAAATCTTAGAGGAGGCACACAAATCCAAGTTCTCTATTCACTCGGGGGCCACAAAGATGTATAGGGATCTGAGGCTGAGTTACTGGTGGCCCTGCATGAAGAGGGAAATCGCATGGTTCGTGGAGCGGTGCTTGACCTGCAGGAAGGTCAAGGCCGAACATCAGAGGCCTCACGACAAGGTTCAGCCGCTACCCATTCCTATGTGGAAATGGGAAGAGATCACCATGGACTTCATCACGAAGTTACGGAGGACGGCGAGGGGTGTGGATTCCATATGGGTCATTGTGGACAGGTTGACGATGAGTGCTCATTTTATTCCCATCTCCGAGAGCATCTCCACTGAGAAATTAGTAGATATTTATGTACGAGAGGTGGTGGTCAGGCACGGGGTGCCAGTGTCGGTGGTCTCTGACCGGGATGTCCGTTTTACATCCAGGTTTTAGAGCAAGTTCCACGAAGAGTTGGGAACTCAGTTACATTTTAGCACCGCTTACCACCCCCAGACAGATGGCCAGAGCGAGAGGACGATCCAGACGCTTGAGCATATGCTTCGGGCATGCGAACTGGGTTTCGGAGGGAGTTGGGACACATACCTCCCACTAGTACAGTTTTCATATAACAATAGTTATCATGCTAGTATCGACAGACCCTTGTTTGAGATGTTGTATTATCGGAGGTGTAGGACCCCAGTTTGTTGGGGTGAGGTTGGGCACCGAGTCATGGGAAACATTGAGGTGGTGCTTAAGACTACCGAATTGATTCAGCAGGTGTGCGATAGACTGCGAGTCACGCAGAGGCGTCAGAAAAGTTATGTTGATCGGCGTCGCTCGGATCTCGAGTTCCAGGTGGGAGACTTCGTTTTGCTGAAAGTGTCACCATGGAAAGGTGTCATTAGGTTTCGGAAGAGGGGCAAGTTAGGGCCCCGATATATTGGTCCGTTTAGGATTTCTGCCTGGGTGGGCAAGGTGGCTTACCATTTGGATCTGCCGGACGAGCATAGCCAGATTCACAACACCATTCATGTGTCTCAGCTTCGGAAGTGTGTCACAGACGAGGCCGCGGTTATTTCTTTGGACGACATTCAGGTGGATGAGAGTTTGAACTACATTGAGAGGCCCGTTACGGTTTTGGATAAGAAAGATAAGGTTCTTCGTAACAAAGAGGTGAAGCTAGTGAAGGTGCAATGACAACACCGGAAGGGCTCGGAATAGACATGGGAGCCGGAGGATGAGATGCGAGAGCATTACCCGAATTTGTTTGTGTCAGCAGACTTCGAGGATGAAGTCTAGTTCAAGTGGGGAGATTTGTAACGCTTGATACAGGTATTAACTATTTCTCAACATATTAGGGTTTGGGCTGGAACTCGACGAGTTGGGGAGCTCCAACTCGTCGTGTAGGGATCTATTTGGACGTGGGGTTAAGGGTCTACTCGACGAGTTAGAAGGCCCCAACTCGATGAGTAGACGTTGGGGATGAAAACCTTAATTTTTCGGGCATTGTACCCTATTTAAAGGACTTAAATTCTAGGGTTGGCCTCATTAACAACCTCCTTGCTCAGAGAAAACCCTAGAGTCACCTCCCCCTCTTGTTCATTTAGTTTTTGTTAGTGTTTGAGTGATTGTTGGATATTTTGAAGGGAGTCTTGAAGAAAGAAGTATCAAGCTTGGAAGATAGATCTTGGATCCAGAAACTCTACATCAAAGGCTGCATCTTGGAGGTATAAAGTCATAACTTTGACATGTAGCTTATTACATCTCATCTTTTGTAGTTTAGGGTTTGGTTTTGGGAATTTGGCTTGGATGTCCAAAGAAAAGAGGTTTCCAGAGGTTGAGGGTGTAGATCTGGCCTCTATAAGACCTCTAGAGGAGTAAAGTTGCAAAATTTGATAGCCTCCATGTCTCATTCATGCAATATGTCCACTATGAAGCCTAAAATGGACCTTGGAGTATGTTTCAAGCGTGCATGGACGTAAAGTTAGAAACTTTACGTGCTTTGTCCACCCTTGGACATCAGATCTGTAATTTGGAGCGTTGTAGAAAGGGTTTGAGGTCTTAATGAGTCAAGAACTTCCTTAAGGAACTAGGGTTTGGGTTCAGAGCTTATTAGCTGATCCTTGGGGGTAAAGTTGGAAAATTTATCCTTCTAGACATCTCTATGAAGGGGGATCTAAATTCTGGAACCTTTGGACTCAAGAAAAAGGGCTTAATGCATTAAGTAGGTTGGCAGACTGAAGAACTCGACGAGTTCATAGGTGAACTCGGCGAGTGGGGTTGGGGTTACCCCGATTCTGTTAGAAAACAGAGGAACTCGACGAGTTGGATCGCAATATCGCGATTTTGACTTTGGGGTGGACTTGATGAGTTGATGGGTAACTCGACGAGTTAGGTCAACTCGGAGGGTTGACTTTGAATTTGACCAGGGTTGACTTTTAAGGGTTTGAAGGGTTTAGTTGTATCTAAGGAGTTGTTTATGGTTAGGGAATTGACAAAGTTGATACTCGGAGCTTGGACCTATTCAGTTACAGTTCGCACTTGAGGTGAGTTTTCTCACCATACCAATGGGTCGAAGGCACCAAGGTCGGCCCATTCAGTTAGTTGTGACGATTATTATGGAATAATTATTGATATGCCTAGTATGTATGTATGTGAAACTGCTAGTACCTTATTGGTTAGACATGCAAGACCCCGGGGGAGCCCATGGCAGTTGGATATAAGACCATGGGGGAAGCCCATGACATTCCAGGTAAAGACCATGGGGGAGCCCATGGAATGTAAGTATAAGACCCTGGGGGAAGCCCATGACATCCTGGAGTAAGACCCTGGAGGGAGTCCACGACATCCCTATATATTTATATACGTGTTACGTAGTATGCTAGTTATTTCTGTGATATGTGTTATGCTAGTTAACTCTATGTTATTTGCATGGAAGACCCCGGGGGGAGCCCGTGGCAGTTAGATATAAGACCATGGGGGAAGCCCACGACATTCCAGGTAAAGACCATGTGGGGAGCCCATGTCATGTAGGTATAAGACCCTGGGGGGGGGGGGAGCCCACGGCATCCTGGAGTAAGACCCTGGAGGGAGTCCACGACATCCTTATATGTTTATATGCATGGCTTATGTGGTTTACGTAGCTGATGTAGCTAATGTGGTTTATGTGATTATGTGGATTGTGTGGGGTATGCTCTGGGGAACTCACTAAGCATTATCTTACAGTTTGTTGGTTGTTTCAGGTACTTCATGATCTAAGCGCAAGAGCCCGGCGTGATGGCGCGGCATGCACTCTCTGGCGTTTTATTTGGGACACTCTGATATTATGAATAATTTATCTGAGGTTATGGATTTTGAAAACAAATGTGATTGGAATTTTATATCTTATGGAAATGATTTGGTTATTTAAAATGATAAAAAAAATTATTGGAAATTTGGGCTGTTACAGAAACAAACTGAAAAATGATAAGTTCTATAGATCTTGAAAGATCTCAAAGTTTTCACTTTATCTAACAAAAAATCATTAGACCTCTTGAAGTTTTTGGATGAATTAGTATTTAGGATGATGGGAGTGGAGGCGCTAAGGCGCTCACTAGGAATAAAGAACACCGCTCCTTAAGTCTCGTTAGGGGGCTCACTACGTGCGTAACAAGAAGAGAGAGAAGATTGCTTAAATGTGATTGGCTGTTGGTTTTTCTTGAGAATCTTGACCATTCACGTGTGAGTTTATTTCATTTCTTTTTTATTCCATTTGGATGGAAGTTTCCAAATCGAACCCTTATATTTTTTTAATAGCTCATTATATTCTCGAAATATATAGATAAAATGTATGTTTTTGTTGTAAGTAATTAAAACATTAAGATATTTTTTAAATTTCAAATAAAGATTGATTTTTTAGTAATTATAACTTTTAATATATGTAACTTTGAAAAAGAAAATGAAAAAAAACAAGGAGTACTAGGGATGCTAGCACTCCCTATGAAATGTTAAGAAAAAATATGCTAGCAAGGTGACAGACAAAAAAATAACACGAGAGTAAAAAAAATGATATGCCAAGATGTTAGGAATGTTACCACTCCCTATAGGTTTAGTGATATTTAAATTTGTGATCTAAACCGTTGATTTCGGGAAAATGACTTATTAAGGTAACTAACCATTTGGTATGTTCAGATCTAGGTAATATTTGTTTTTTTTTTGTACTCATTTACCCAACTAACTTGTTTCATAAGTTCAAAAATACCCATTATTACCGGAAAAAACAAGTTTTTGTCGGTTACATCGATTTAGGTCAATTAAAATGTATTACGTGGATTCTTACGTGGCTATTACACCCCCTCCTCAATTAATTAAGGTTCGTCTAGTCTAGAAACACTTCAATTAACAGTTTGGGAGAAATTAATACAACAAATCGAAGGTGAATTTGAAGATTCGAGTTGAAGTCGACTATAACATGGCATCCCAATCATCTACATGTATGTATGTTCCTGTAGATTTTCATTACAAGGGGGTATTTGCGCCAAAGTCGTTGGTATACTTGGACCATGTAAAAAAATTGTTCGTGATGTGGATTTTGGTGGATTTACGTATAAAGAATTTATTTTGTGGCTTACGAAATTAACCGAAGGAGACTATGATAATGTCTACTACTGTAATAGAAATCAATGCTTGGTTGAGGGTATAAGAAGAATCGACAGTGATGCTGATTATCAGGAGTTTGTAGAAGCTATTTATAGTGATGCTAAGTTGGATGTGTATATTGATCACCAAAATGAACCAATTCTTGATTGGGCTGATAACGAGGTTTTAGCAGATGATATAAGTGATGATAATGAGTATGACTTGGATGAAGAAGATGATAAGGACTCAGAAATTTCTAATACTACGAAATATGAACATTAATGTGATGAAGAGGTTTATACTTTTGATAAAATGGTTGGGGGCAAATTTTTGAACAAATTTTCAGGTGATATAAGTGATGATGATGAAGCCAACAATGGAAAAGATATGGAGGTTGTGTTCCCTGTCCATGATGAGAACCAAGAATGAGATCAAATGGTGCCAGTTATAGGTATACAGTTTTCTAACCCATTAGAATTGAAACTATGTCTTACCAACTATACAGTCAAGAATGGGTACGATTTATGGTATGAAAAAAGTGATAATCAAAGGTTATTGGTAAAATGTTGTAAATGTAAGAAGAATAAGCATAATAAAGGTTGTCCCTTTAGGTTGTTGGCTACCTAGATGTCCTCTAAAAAGTCATTATATACTAAATCATTAAATGATAGCCATAACTGCTCAAGAGTCTTTCAATTTGGGTCCATTGTTACCTACAAATGGATAGGAACTCATTTCATGCGATATATACTACATAAACCAAAGATGAGTATAAGGAAACTGAAAGCTAAAAATTTAATTTGATTGCAAGTGTTGGACAGTTCATAAATGCTAGGAAGTATGCATTTTAGGATATAGAGGGTTCTTTAAAATAACATTATGCCAAAACATGGAGCTATGGGGAAGAGATAAAAAGGACTAAAACGCTGGATCAATAGTGAAGATGGATGTAGATGTCATGCCTGATGGAACCACTTACTTCTCAAAGTTTTATGTATGTTTAAAGGGTTTGAAGGATGGATGGATTGAGGGTTGTAGGAGGGTAATTGCACTAGATGGTTGCTTCTTAAAATGCATATGAAGAGGGCAGTTACTTTCTGTTGTAGGTAGAGATGCAAACAACTATATATACCTAATTTCTTGGGCTGTGGTTGCAGTGGATAGTAAAGAAACATGGAAGTGGTTTATTGACCTTTTGATTGATGACCTTGGAATGGGAGTTGGGCATAGACTAACCCTAACATCAGACCAACACAAAGTAAGCAATTTATGTTCTCTCTATCTTAGTACTACTTAATTTATTTAAGCTTATGTTTTTTTTGTCTAATGCTAACATGGATTACTTGAGGATGTGAAAGAAAGGGTTCCAACAGCAAAGCATAGGCAATATGCTAGGCATATATGCGCCAACTTCATGAAAAGATTTAAGGGCCAATAGTTTAGGAAGCTTTTCCGGTATACTGCTGCAGCTACTACCCACGCAAAATTTGAGCAACATATGAATGAAATCAAGAAATTAGAACCTCTAGCCTATGATCATTTGATGGAAAGGGACCCTAAAACTTGGAGTAGAGCATTTTTCAGTCTGATAGGGCTTGTGATGCATATGAAAATGGTGTATTTGAGAGTTTTAACTCAGTCATTGAAGCTGTCAGGAAAGAGAAGGCTACCAGAAAGACAATCAACAAAAAGAAAAAGGGATCAAATCGAGAAGGAAAACTAGGGAAGAAAGCATTCAATCACGAAGAGAGGCTCAGTGATGAGATGCAACATACGTAGAGAAACAGGGCATAATAGAACCAAATGTCCTCAAAAACCAACTGAGGATTCATCAAATCCACTGTCACAGGAAAATAAAGCCAAAGAACATGGTATGTGTGGTATATATATGTGACATAACTTAACATATGTGAAGTTGAATTAACTTTTCAAGTCTTGCAAAACAGGTAAACTGAAGGGTAAATTCGCATTAAGTTGAAATGGAAAGTGACATTGAAGTTTGAAATGGAACCTCATAGTGAAGTGGATTCTTTTGAAGGTGAATTTGAAGATGAAATATAACTTGAAGGTGAAGATGATATAGAAGTAGAAGCTGAAGTCTCAATTCAAGTTCAACCTTAAGTGCAAGTTGAAGTCCCAGTTCAAGTTCAACCTGAAGTGCAAGCTGAAGTAGAAGCTGAAGTGCCAATTCAAGTTCAAGATGAAGTAGAAGTAGAAGCTGACTCACCATTTCTAATTCGATCGTCTCACAATTACAATTAACCAGGAGATGTACATTAAGAATCTCAGAAACACCGAGAGCAAATTGTTTGCACTGTCATGCTATGAGATTTATCATAAACTCGTAATGAAATAAAATACATGCCAATTTCATTGATATAATTTGATACATATTGTTTAGTAGAATTTGACCTTTAAGCAGGTCTACATCAATGTAACAGAATATTTTGGCATAACATAGCCCCTTGAGTAGTGTAATCACTTAATCGCAGGGTTAGCTTACATGCAAAAAGAGTAGCACCAACGCATACTCATAAACCTACTCTACAAGGACGTGCGAGTAGCATGAGTTCTACTCACGATGATTAGTCCCTGGTGGTGCTTGGGACGAGGTCGATGCGCCCTGGAGTTCGGCCAATCGTCGCTCGGCTGCATTCACTCTTTCCTCGAGTGCCAAGTATTTTTCTTGATACTCCCTTGCTTCTGCTCGAGCGGCGAGAAGGTCCTTGATGAGTTGGTCCCTGAAGTAGGAGTCTCTCTCTAGGTCTCTGGTGCGGGTAGTAGTAGCTTCTATATTGGCACTCAGCTCCCGAATTTGGTCCGTCGTTGCTCTACCGCGATCATCGATGTTAGTTATCTGTTGAGTCATGACTGGAAGCGCTCTGTCAGCCGGTCCCCCGTGGTTGAGGTCGTAGTAACCTCGTTGATCGCCAAATGGTGATCGTTTTCGTTGCTGACGGCTCCATCGCTCGATCACTGTTGCCCAACGGGGTTCGGGCCCGTTGTAGCCAAAACGGTTTGCAGGCACCCTGGCGATGTAAGGAGGGTTGATGACTTCCTCCTCTGGCTCTTCTTCTTCCTCTTCTTCGTCCCCCATTTCCTCTTCCTCCTCGGGTTCCTCTTCTTCCTCAACCTCTTCGGGGTCTTCCTCAGGATCCTCCTCGATCATTTCCTCGGGTTCTGCCTCGAGCCATCCAGCGTTTCCCTCATCAGGGAAGTAAGGGTCTCCAGGTAGATGGAATCCCGCCATGTTGTCTGTACGAGAATAGGGGTGTAAGAGATATGAAATGAATCTAAAATGTCGAGTTATAAATTTACAAAATACTCCTATAGTATTTTTAAATGTTATGTTTGGTTCTTAGTGTATTCATTATAGGGTGATGTTAGGTTGTCAGATTTGTTGTCCAATTAGAGACTTTCAGTCCCAATGGTGTTTATAGTTTGTATATCTTATGTGGTTCGATATACTGAGTTCACTATAAACATTTCTCTGATACCAATCTGTCACACCCCCAAACCAAGGATGGCGGAAACGTCCGGGGGTGGAGGACTTCATGTATAGTATCATAACAACAATTTTAATAGTGATCAAAGTAAACACAACCAACATAAATATAATTGAAAAAAGTTACATCATAGTATATGTTTACATGTTTCTGAATCAATTACATTATGTTGACAAAAATACAATGTTGACGCCTTAGCGTTCCATCCTCAAAAGCGGCCGATTACCTGTTTATTGATTTCCTGAGAATACAAGTAGTTTTGAAAAAGTGTCAACAATTAAGTTGGTGAGTTCATAAGCTTTTGAAAATGATGATAAAATCCTTTTCTTTGTAAAAGAAATGTTTGTTCAAGAAAAATCCAATATTTCTCTTATAAAATGCATTGTAGTCTTAAGAGTCAAAACCGAATTGTACAAGTATTTTTCCATACTTAAGGTAATTCATGCAAGTTTAAATCGACATAAACTCGTTTAATTTCGAAGTAAAACCCGTAAAGCTTATGTTTTGTTAATACCCCATGTGAGTTATTATAACCATACTAAGACTAAGACGGCCTCATAATACGACGTTCTTCAGGCGTCGCAAGTTAAATGACACTTGTCACCTCAGACCTGCCGGTCTAGCTGTTGCATGCAGCTCAGGTGCAGGTTTGTCAGACCCAATATAGATCTATACACAACTATCACGGTCTCCCTACAAGAGACTCTGGTTACAATTTACAGGACTTTTGACTTTGTTACTTTGAAGGTAACACGAAACGAATGTCTCACAAATTTATTTATTAACAGATTTACGTGAATTGAACTGAAAACTCATTGGTAATGAGTTTGACTGGTTAATGAAACATAAACTATACCTATTATAGTTTAACATAATTGTTTGTAATGTGTATGAAACATAAACTATACTTACCATAGTTTATCATAAGTGTTTGTAATGTAAAAGAACATTTTTCTGTGTAAGTAGATTTATAGCAAAAACATAACTATGTTTATTATGCCTCATTTAGTAATAATAACGATTCTTACAACTAAATGTCTATTTTTATGTTATATAATTTTATCACAACAGAAAACACATGCAAAATATGAAGTCATCAAGGTTTAACACTTTGCTCAACATGTTACAAGTGTTATGAAAGTTGTAAACTGTAAATTCGTTTTTACCATTTTTTTTTTCACTGATTTTAGAAAAATCACAGAAAATCCATACGAAACCAAAAACTAGATCCGTAAACTCTGAGAGTTTAGAAAATGTGTCTAGTATGTTCATAATTTTTATTATGATTTTTAGAAGTTGCTAACTGGTGTGAAAACGTCCATATTCACTGACTGGTCCGAATTCGTAGCTACAGTGATAGGCAGTTTTGTAAAAATCACTATAATTAGTAGAAAAGTCGTATGAACGTGTGCAAGTAGTCATTTTAAAGGTATGAACCTGAACTATTTGCATCTAATAAAGTTTTGAAAACTAAAATGTTTAAGTTGACCAAAACAGTCCGTGAATGGAGTTAAACTTTTCTGATGAAAGTTTGTTGAATGAGTTTAGTTGTGTTCTTGGTGTTTTAACTTGTATCCCCCCCCCCCTTAAAACTTAAGAAAAACATGAAAAGATAGGGGTATGAACTCACCTTGTGTGTTCTTAGTGGATGGATGTTGAAGAACAGAAGTGTTCTACTCAAGAACACTAAGAAGATGCCTTGAAGGTTCGAAGATCTAACATGAATGTGATGATGTTTGTGTAAGATATCTATGATTTGAGTAGAAGGAAGTGAAA